TTTTTTCTTGTTTGGGTAACTGCTTTCATCACCAAAATCTGTGGGCTTAAAGCTATTGTTTTAGGCTTCCATTCTTTACCTCTTGTATTGTATTATACACAGAAGTGTAAGTTCCTTTCAACAAATTTGGATTATTGCCAAATCTCCTTATTAAAAAGTCACTCTTCATATTTCCGATAAACACAGCTGTTTCATGGTGTTTGAAAGCATTTCACATCAGCCAGCATGGTGGCTTAGCCAATTAGTCCTCTAATATGGTCAATTTTGAGAATAAGTACCTTTGGGGTACAAAGGGTGGGATCCATCTCGCATAATTTGAACTGGCATCACTGGAATGGCAGCAGAAACTTTGCAGCACACAGGGAGTTAAAGCAACTTAAAAGCCTGACGTGGAAGTTGCTAGCAGAACAAACTGTTCCCTAACATTTCCAGGGAAATGACTTTTCAGAAAATACTTTCTTAATTGTAATGAAGCCAATTATAATGGCCTCAAAAACAAGCGGATAAAAAACGATCCCGTTTCATTATGGTTCTAGTGTTACTATTTCTAGGAAGGCTGATCAATGTTTAATGAAGTATTAGTAAACTTAATTATCACTTTCTGGAGGAGGTATCTGAGCGCTGTGCCCAGATGATGGGCCAGCCCTTGTGCCTGTGCAGGAGCAGTGGTTGTGATTCCGGGGTAATCACACCTTTTCCTGAGCAGCACCAAACCACCCTTTCAAAGACTTCAAACAACTTCAGGAAGAAAGGAATTCCATCCAGGGCTGTGGGCTTGAAGGGGCTGGCAGGGCTTTTTTTGGAAGAGGAGATGGAAGGTGGATGGATCAATATGTGGCCCCATATGTTGGGCTGTGCTGGTGGAAAACCTGTCTGAGCACTGGAGGTGTCCCTTCACCGTGTCAGCAGGCACTCCCCTGGAGCAAGGAGCCCAGGGCTCTTTATTAGGATCACTCCTTTGTTCCAGGATCCTAAATATCTGAAGAAAACTGTGACCTGTTTCAAATTAACTGATCCTTTATTGTCTCATCACTCCCTCAGACAGAATTCACAATTTTGGCTCTTCTTCAGAGCCTCGGCCACGTGCAGCGCTCACCTAATCAATGGGGGCAGCTTATTGTACTGGTTACTTGGTTATTGGCCACTACAAACCAAGAAGGGGAAAGGCAAGACAGAGCTGCATAATCAGAATTCAGCATTCTGAAGAATCCTGTGACTTCTGTGCTGCACAGCACCCCGAGCTCATAAAACACCGAGGAATCCAGTGTAGCACGCAACAGCTGTACTGCATAATTACTTGGCCCAATAGCAGCAGTTTTAAAATACTGGTATATCTGTTGCAGGCCACCATACATTACCATCTCATTTTCAATAAAAAGTCTGGGATGTTTCAGACCAGCTTCAATGGAATTAGAATCATGTGTGCTTTGAAATATTTATGCTTGCCTTGAGATGGAAGGATAACTCCTGCCTCCAGCCCCTACACAAAATAACAGATTTCATAACGCCAGAGACTCCAACTCCTCCATACCTACAGCAGGTAGAAATGAAGTTCTGATCTTGAGTACACATCTTTTCATAGATTGTAGAAGTCATATTTTATGTCATTTACTGAGGTCAATAATAAAATATAAATGTCACAGGCTGAAAGACGCCAGGAGAAATATGGTTTGGCAGGATGGAGCTGCTTAGGGATACATAAATAATAAGTCAATAAGTAAATAAATAATAGACAAAGACCTATTTTATCTTCCATTTGAGGATCTCAAAGAATTTACAATCTCTGATTGAGACTTGTAATATCCCGTCAGAGGTAATAAGAGCCTCTTCTCTTACACAGGGTAATTTCCATCACTGTAGGTGTGGGTTTAGGAATTAAAGACTTTATCATTTTTATTAAGTCTGAAAATCATGACTGAAAGGGGCCCTTGGCCTTTTTAGAGGCAAACAGGGATAATAATGACCTGCTTCATTACCCCTTGTGCTTTCACTGATTAAAAATGCTTGTGAGGGCCCCTATATTTGGAAGCACCGTTGTGTTCTGCACTCAGAACTTGTTGGAGTGGCCAGTTTTGCACTCTCCAGAGTTGCTGACCACAACACAGCCATCAGAGTAATGGTCTGTGTCTGGGCCAGCAGATTTTAGACTTTAACATTTAATTCCCTCTCTCTGGTATCAGGCAGGCACATTTGTAATGTTGATCAGTTTAATAGTGGTGGTTTTTCTCCTCTTATCAAAGAGCCCTTTCTTTTGGCACTTGAGAAATTTGCTATTTCCTAGTCAGAGGCTGCACAAACAAACCTTTGGAGATCCCTATTGCACTCGTCACTCCTTATGCTAAGGGGAAAACGACCCCTCCACATCAGTGCATGGCACAGGCTGAGCAATGGTGCCAATTTTCTCCTTTCCCTCCCCCAGCCCTTCCCTGGTCAGCAGGAAGCCCTTGGGGATGGGCTGAGGAGCTGGCCAAGGCTCCAGAGAGGAGCCACGTTCTCCTTGCAGCACTTTGCTGTGCTGAATTATCGTTGGTCATTTCTGCATTTCTTTGCTTCTCTCTCTCTTTGGGCAGGTCACTGACACACACTCTCCACTTTGTTTTCTGCCCTGACACGCTGAGGAGGTCAGGACAGCAGAGAAAGGCTTGCTCCTTGCCTGCCACTGAGTATTTCTTTCATCTTTCTTAAAGCAAATCAAATTATTAAATGAAGAGCCATACTTTGGAAAAGCTAAATACAATGTTGTCTCAGGCCTAGCTTTGAATTCCCACATGTTCCCTGGATTCAATTCTTTATTCCTTCTAGTCCGAGATGCATTTCAATCTCCTTTTCACCCAGGAGACAAACAGAAATTAGTTTGTTCATAAAGGACAGTGCAATTGCATAACCATTTCAAACAGTACTAAAAGAGCTGATACTAAAAGGAAATTCTCTTTTTATATTTCAGAAATTCCAATTTATTCCTTACTTAATTAGATGTTTGTCACATAAATGTCCATTTCTCACTTTTATCTGCATCCTTCATATTCCATCTGGCACACAAGGAAAGGGAAAACTACAAAAGCAGATACAAAGAAAGGGAGGAAGACAGAAATAATGTAGGCTAATAAAATTTTTGTTGTAGTCATCAAAATGCTGGGATCTACCTGAGTGAAGGTGTGTGGGCAGAATGGAGGTGCCAACCTCAGAGCAGCACCACTCAAGGGCTGGGGATTATTTTGGGGTGAGGTGGCTCCTTGGACACCGTTGTAATAATTGCCTCCATGGTGGTCACTCACAGTTACAAAAAGGAATCTCCCTTTAATTTTGATGTTTCTCTTTTTATTGGGGATATTTTCAGCAGAATTAAAGGGAGCAGAATTAAGGTGGACACAGGGAGCTTTTCATGGCAAGGACAAGGGTTTCACATCCATCCCATAGCAGCACCCCTGGCATGAGTGCAGCTCTCTTTGGTGGTGGTGTCAGAGCAGTAATTCCTGTCCTGTGGTGGAAAGGGATGTGTACAGCAGGGCTGCCCAGCCAGCCCTCAGTGAATGTTTACAGCAAAAGGCAGCAGTTTCCTTGCTGCTCTTTCTGAGTTCATGTTTTATCCACATCCTCAGGCTCTTGAGTTTGCTAATGGTTTAATAATGCTAAAGAAAAAAAAGTTATTAATAAAGTGTCATATTATTAAACTGGCAATGAACAAGAGTAAGAAGCAGATTTTAGCTTTTATTTAACTGAAGGTTTTTCATAACATTCATCATGAAATGAATGTTTGCTCATTTGTGTTTGATTTTAGTTAACTTTTCTGCATCTCTCCAATTTTTCCAAATGTGCCAAAGGCTTTTTTTATTTTTTTTCCTCTCTTGTATATTTAAATTATTTCCAAGCCAACACCTGAGTTTCTGTAGGATTTCCCCGCCCTTGCATAGTCATTATGTGTGAGCACAATCTCTGCACATGGACACCCCTGAAAGACTCCTAGGGAGCAACAAAGACTGTTTGGTGAGAAATAAACAATGATTTACAGATGAGCTTGTGTGCAACCAGATTAATTGGTCATTCTGAAGGAAGAGTGAATCCTCATTTTAAAGGGAGAATTCATGGCACTGTAAGTGGCAGCAGTTGCTGCCTCGTGGTGACAGCTAACAATGGGAAGCTCTGTTGGGTAGCAAGAGTCCAACCCAATATATTTTGAAGGCCAAGGAACTGGGCAGAGGTGTCACATAATGCAGGAGAGCAAAAGGCTCTGGAGCTGCACTCGTAGTTCTGCTGAAATCAGCTGAGGGTAAAATCGGTCATTGCCAACGGGCTGGTGTACATCACACCTCTGCACCTTCTCTGGAGTGCATTTTCCAGCTGGCTTGTTGGCCCATAAATTCACCAAATTAAACTTCACCCCTGAGAGCGAGCTGGGGGCTTGCTGAAGATCTGAGCCCAGCGTTATTCAGGAGAAATGTAAATGCGATTTTCCAAACGATCTCGCCACTTTGTGCATGTTCATTAAATGAAAACACGTTACTTAAAATAAATGTTCCTGAAGTGAGATGGGGAAAAACAACCCAACAACAAGAAGTGTTAGACTGCTTTTAAATTATCGACCGTTTATACTACAATGTAAAATGGATTCGTATGTGCAAATCCAAGTTACATGAAATGTCAATTAAATCAACCCTAATCTCCCAAATACATTTTTTTATTGCCTGATTGATGAGAGCTGCTCTTAAGGTGATGAATAGTTTTCACTCTCACAAAGGACTGCTGATTCCTTGCTACGTGTCCACTAAAAACACAGAAAATCCTTCAAAATGTCTTGCTCCGTTTGCTTCCAGGATCTAGATGGAGTGAGTGTAGGACACAATGTGGTCTGATATATTAATGGATGTATAAACAATACTATACATTTAAAAACAAACCAATAGCAAAGAAAAAAAAAGGCTGCTTAAAACTACAACAGATTTAAACTGTTTTATTTTCCAGAGGTAAAGCTCTATATAACGTCTTTGTTTTCTTTCCTATAGCAAGTCCACATGCAACACCATCGACTCTTCATTTTCCAACATCACCCATTATTCAACAGCCTGGGCCATACTTCTCACACCCAGCAATCCGCTATCATCCTCAGGAGACTCTGAAAGAGTTTGTCCAACTTGTCTGCCCCGACGCTGGTCAGCAGGCTGGACAGGTGGGGTTCCTAAATGTAAGGAAGCCGTTTTTCTTTCTTCAGAAGTGTTTGTCCTTTGTAAAAATTAACCAGGGGGTTATGGAGGGGGTTTTTGTAACAGCATGGCATGGCGCCTGAAGGAGCGCACCTTGAGCAGTTGCTGGAAGGGACAACCAAAAAAATTTTTAAAAAAATATATATAAAATAATAATGCTGTGCTCCAAAAGCATTTAAAAAAACAAACAAGAGACCTCCCCAAAAAACCACTCGACCACATTGTGGTGGAAGCACATTAAAGTGTCAGGGAAGCTGGTGCTTCGGTGACCTGCTGGGTCCCCCCACAAACGACTTTGCTGCATGTGTTGTAACCCTTGTGGAACCAGGGTTAACAAAATACGAAGGCAGAATAATTTTTATTAATTATTTTTGAAGTTCAGGGGAGAGTGGGGGGGAAAGAGCAGGAAAAAGGAGGGTGAGAAACAGATGTTTCAGATCAGCTAAGTTCATTAAAAAAAAAAAAAAAAAGATACTGCCTTATAGCACTTTAGATCAAGTTGACCAGTACTTGAACTCAAGATGTTAAAAGTACAGTTTATTATGGTTTGTTATTTCTGTAAGCAGTTATCTTTTCCCCTTATCTCTATGAAAAATTAAGCAGAGTTCCAAAGCTTCAAATAACCATTTTCATTTTTTTAATCAAATAAAGTGAATCATCTTGCTATTATTGAAATAGCATTCTGGACGAATACAGAATTTATAAATTTTATGTAAATCAAATCTAAAATAATGCTCTGAATATTTCATGAAATGTAATGCATGTAACTTTTTCCAGCCAATGAAGTAATAACTGGCAAAATTACTGCTTCTCTCCTGACATACTGAAAGTGTTAATGAGAATTAGTTTAATTATTAGCATCTAATTTATTACACTTATTTAATAAGCTGTATTGTTCTCAGTGTTTTCCTTTCCCCAGCAGAAAAACTGACTCTACTTATTCCAGCCAGTCCTGGCTTTGAATAATGTCTGCAATATGTTAGCAGATACATTTATGTCTAGACAACAAATCAATACAGTGCTTTTCTTTTTCCTTGAGTATTCATTTGCTTAATTTATCCCAAACCATTCAGCATTATGAACTGTTAGCACACTCACAATGAACAGGCAGCAGGGGTCTTCTTGGCAGGAAAGGGACCTAATTGGGAGACAAGATAGTGTTTGAGAGATGTCACTAATATATTAGTTTATTAAAGGTGCTGGATGTTGGAAAAATAAACATCCCTGAAGGATTGCTGCTTGCTGCAAACTCCAGCAACTGCAGTCTTTGAAGCCTGTGGGAGTGCTGTTAAGTTAAATGCAGATGAACTTGAGTCTTACTTATCCCCTGAACCATTTTTTGCTCCAGCACAAGTGTGATTTGCACCTCCATGGCTTTAAGGCCTTTTGTCAGTGCCAGAGCAGGTGAAATGAAAATAAAAGTCCCAAGTGTTTCACCAGGATGGGTATTTTGTCCCTGGCAATTCAGGCTAATGGAAACCCTATCAGGAATTAAAATATTATTTTCTTTAGCAGTACTTAGAATATGGATCTGTGTTTAAAGCTGAGCTTTTATCATCAATGGAAAAGCCAATGTTCAGTGCCAGAAGAGCTGCAGTGAGATCAATTTGTAGAGTGCTGTCGAAAATGATCTCATCATTTTTGTCACTAAAATGGAACACCTGATTCACAGCCTGTCCTACTTTCTCTTTATAATGGTATTTGGCATCTCTCTGTATGGTTTTCAAGTGTCCAGGCTGGGTTACATTTAAAATGTAAACTTAATAAGCTGGGGGGAGGGTTGGCATGTTTTTCTAAGCCTGATTCCTGTTTTTGTGATACTTGAAAACACTTTTACTTACGGACACATTTTTCTGGTGATTAATTGAAAGACCACACTCATATAGCTGATCCCCTTCAGCCTGTGACTGACCACAGCCCAGACTGAAGGGAGGGTGGTTTTTTTTCTCCCAGTGTGTAAAATGAAGTTGTTCTAAGTTCAGTCATTTCTCCACATGATCCTAATGGCAGCTAAACCAAGAGCTACACTACTGCTAACTCAAAAGGGATGTGGGAGAGCAGTTATTTTAATATACACTCATTCATTTTCCTGTAATGAGATAGCAGCATGATTTTTAAGACCACCAAAAACGCTTGTTTTTTCACTTAATGAGCAGTATCTTTAAGAAATTTACACTCAAGTCCTAGACACTGATATCCTGAGGGTATAGCACAGGCACGAAACTGGGGGATTTTAGGGGTCAAAAATACTGCTTCCACTCTCACTGAGCATGGGTTAGTGCTGCAGGAAATGTAAAGAGGAGTAGGATTTAATCCAGGACAATTTAATCTTAGTTCAGACAAGCTGCTAATAGGACAAGTGGTTAAAAGCCAGAATTTCCATAGTTTCACAAGGTTCACAGAGTTTGACATGATGTTCCTTGAAGTCCACGGAGAATTTGAGCCAGCACTTTCTTTGCCACCTCTCAAGTAACTGTAAATGTATTGCACACAGTTTTTGAACTAGATTTGTTTTTACTGGAGTTTCCTAATAGCTGATTTTTAGTATAATTTCTGTCTGTTTGCTTGTTTCTCGGCAGCCCAATGGTAGCAGCCAAGGCAAGGTGCACAATCCATTCCTTCCTACCCCAATGTTGCCACCACCACCTCCGCCACCAATGGCTAGGCCTGTGCCTCTGCCAGTGCCAGACACAAAACCTCCAACCACATCAACAGAAGGAGGGGCCACCTCTCCCACTTCTCCAAGTAAGTATAGACGCAGCGGGATCCACACTGGGCAGGGATGAGGCCTGCACACATCTTGGCAAGCAGGAGAGCTCTCTGCTCTCCACCATGGACAAAGCCATGAGCTGCTCCTGTGTGAGCAGGGAAAGCCTTAGCTCAAGGCTGCAGTTTTGTTTTTGACTTGGTTGGCGTTTCACACGTGCGAGGGAAATCGAGGCCGGTGGCTTAGCTGTGACACAGAGCTCGGATCTTTGGGGTGTTGTTTGCTGCCATGAGGATTTGAGTGGACATCCCATCCCTGGAAGTGCTCAAGGCCAGGCTGGGTGGGCCTCTGAGCAGCCTGATCTAGTGGATGGTGGCCCTGCCCGTGGCAGAGGGGTTGGAACTGGGTGATCTTTAAGGTCCCTTCCAACCCAAACTATTCCATGGTTCTGTGATAAGTTGGTGTCCCAAGCCAGGCTTTAGAGGACAGATCCCACATGGAAGTCAGGCAATCTCCTTGAGAACATTCCTGCTTACACACACTGGGCTAAACTAACAACCCTTTCCAGTTTACTTCAATTGCCATTCTTTTGGGAATAAATCTTCCCAGATTAAGCCAGACGTCTTTCCCTTATGCCGTGCATCTTGGGCAAGAAGTTTTGGTATGTCTTAGGGCCAGGGAGAAAGCTCTAATCCTCTCCCACCACCCACACGGCTCCCATATGCATTTTGTGTAGCCACAAGTCAAATTTACGAATTCCTGGATACACACTTGGGGATACCACTTTGGAGTCACTCTTCTGGGAAACAAATGCAATTCAGCTGTGTCTGATGCTTTAAAAAAAAGTCTGGATGTTCAGGGAGTTAATTGTGAAATGATTTAATGAAGCTATGCTCAAACTGACATTTAAAAACAAAAGGGAAGCTTTCAGTGCTTTAATGGCAACTGTAGGGGACTTGTTCCACAGTGAAGGGAGTCCAAATAACATCCACAAACAAAAATCAATCTAATCGAAAGAGCAAATCCCTTTGTGTGCTTTTCAAGCTTATTATTTAAATGCTATATGCAACCACTGCTGGATGTGCAGAGAGGTACTCACTCTTCAGACCAAGTGAAGCCTACTTTTTTAAAGCTTTATATACTGTTCAGGAGACTTGCACAGGTTCCAGGGGGCATTTTTAAAATCTGGTAGTTCCTCAGAGGTTTTCATTGCCTTCTGCTACACGATAGTGCATCAACTGCAAACTCAGCAAGATGCTCTGGCTCGCTTGGAAATTGAAATGGGTTTTAGTATGAGACAGTCTGGTAAGATTGTGAACACGATCTTCTAGAATCAGGACTTCTCGAATTGATCAGCAGATTTTTGTTGAGTGCAGAAGTTGATTCATTCCCTCCGCTCCTCTTTATGACCTTAGACCAACACTGGTGCTGTCAGGAAGGTTTGGCACTTTCTGAGGGGACTTTTGAGTCCTATCAATAAGATTCAGCGGTGGGATCTAAAAGGTTAATGTTTAGTCATAGTTATCACTGAGTGCAGTCAGCAGTGCCTTACTATTTCCTTGCCTTCAGAACCGGGAAAAACAAAACTAGGTCAGTGTGTACTTGTCATTACGGTTGTGACTCAGTTTACTGGCAGTGTTTGGTGTCAAAAAGAAAAGAAAAAAATTCCCAACAACATTTTAGCACTAATCTTAATTTTTATGATACTGTGATTGTGTAAACAAGCTCAGAGGGTGTCTAGCCAGATTCTCAGCTGGCAGAAAAATGGGTATTTCTCCTCTGAAGGGAGCAGGACACCCATTGGTGTCTGCTTGGGGCTGGTCACTGGGCTCTGTGTTCAGCAGACAGCTGCCACGTTAATTGGGAATGGAGGTTTTCTCAAGAGCAGCCAGTTAATGGTATTTAAACAAAAGATTAGGAAAATAATTACTGTTTGTTAATTAGCCACGCTGATGACTAAACATATAGTTCTGTACATATTCAGGCACGCATCTTCCTTTTGGTGAGGGGTTTGAATAACAGTGACTCCAGTTGTAAACAAGCATATAATTTAATTTAGGGAAAAAATTTTACAGAAAAGTAGATTATAGGAAATATTTTCTAAGAAAAGCTATGACATGTAAAGCAAAGCCAGTGGAAGCATTGGCCACATAAAGAGGAAAGCAAACTGAAGTTTGAGGCGTCGCAGGCAGGGTTTGCCAGGAGGACCCACTGGGCTCCATTCAGCGTGTCAATCAGGACCAACCCTCCATTTCCCTGCGTGTTTATTTTTTCCTTAACTAAATATTAGCCTTTGAACAGCGAGTGCAGATTCACCAGAGTTCCATAAAAGCCTCACAAAAAGGTGTTTTCCATGGTTACGAGCTGCTGGAGCGCACCGGTTCTGGGAGTGTCGCCGGGCTATGGCTGACTGCCCCGCAGGGCTTGGGGATATTGGAAAGTCACTAATGCAACAAAGGCAGGAGTGATGTTAAATTTTGGCCAGACTCTCTCCTTAGCCGTGTGGAAGAGAATGATCCCCCCTCCTCCCGAGGAAATGGAGTGAAAGGGGTTGGCATTTGCTCCATTCTCCTTCCCTTTTTTGGTCTAGCAGAAAGCCCTCAGCAGAAACAAAATGCAGTCACGGCCCAACCAAAAATTGGAATATGGCCCTCCTGAGGGGTGCAGGAGCCAGGAGCAGCTGTTCAATACAGCATGGCCTCCTGGGAGTGAGAGCTAAAAATCACAACAAGGTGGTTAATGATTCTCAGAGCAATAGTGAAACTCTCCAGCTGTGACATTAACCAAAACATGAACATTAGTGCTGTCCAAGGAAGGAAGAGCCCCTGGAGATGCACACTGGGGATTTGCCACTACTGGGTGGCCAAACATGCTCTGGGAGCTGACAATTTCAGCTGTGAATCCTGTCCCTTTAGAAAGCCAGCATTTTCCTCAGTCAGATGGCACAACGGAGATGGGATTCACGAGGTTTGGGAGGTTAATTTTTCCTCAAGAAAACCTTTTTCAATAGAACATGTCTTTGATATCAGAAGACCCAGCATTATCTTATCTCAGATCGCTTCTTGATTTTCTTTGGTTGGTAACCCATTGCAAACATAACACAGTATTTTCTTGAACTTGGCAGTTTTGGGGTTTTATATCTCACTGCCCAAAGCAAACACCACCTCCACAACATTCCAGTTGGGCTTTATCACTATCATAATTAAATCATTCCAGAGCAGCCTAAGATACTGCCATCCTGTACACCCTGACTTTTAAACAGCTTTTTAAAACAAAGTGTTATTTTCTGAGACTCACAACTCTTAACTTAAATGAACTCATTACTTGTTAATGTCCCTTTGAACAAAAGAGTTTTCTTCTTAAATGGCATTTGTGTCAGGATGAGGAGAATGATCTTGTGGCTGTAGTGCAGGATTCATAAAGCCAAGTGCCAGGTCCTGCCCTTGGGTCACAACATCCTGTGGAGCTCTCCAGGCTTGGGACAGAATGGCTGGAAAGCTGGAAAAGGACTTGAGGATGCTGGGCAGCAGCAGCTGAACATGAGTCCAAGTGTGTCCAGGTGGCCAAGAAGGCCAAAGGCACCTGGGCTGGATCAGCTCTGGTGTGGCCACAGGACCAGGGCTGGGCTGTCCCCTGTGCTGGGCACTGGTGAGGGCACACCTTGAAGTGCTGGAGAGTGTCCAGGGAAAGGAATGGAGCTGGGGAAGGGTCTGGAGAACAGGAGAGGCTGAGGGAGTTGAGGGGACTCAGCCTGGAGCAAAGGGGGCTCAGGGGGGACCTTGTGGCTCTGCACAACTCCTGACAGGAGGGGACAGCTAGGGAGTAGTGGGGCTCTGCTCCTGGGGAACAAGGGACAGGACAAAAGGAAATGGCCTCAGGTCACACCAAGGGAGGTTTAGGTTGGATATTGAGAAAAATTTCTTCAAAATAGTGGTCAAGCACTGGAGCAGGGGCAGTGGTGGGAGTCCCCATCCCCAGAGAGATTTAACAGCCCTGTGGATGTGGCACCTGGGGACAGGGGTTAGTGGTGGCCTTGGCAGTGCTGGGGTAGGGGTTGGACTCAATGATCTTAAAGGTCTTTTCCAACCTAAACATTCCCATGATCCTGCAATCAGATTGGCTTTCTCTCCCTTCCTCTGCTATGCACTGCCTGAGCACCTTCTGGGCGAGTTTGAGCGCTCTGTTCACTCCTTTCCCCACCCATAAAAAAGAGGGCTGACTCCATCACTCAATTTGCTAAAACTTGCAGTTCCCTCTCAGATCCTCAGCTGCAGAATGCTCTGCAGCAGGAATTGTTCTACTGCACCACATTCCTCCAGTCAATCCTTGCTGCAGCTTGAGGAACAGAACAACTCCTCACATCAAACACATGTACCTGTCATCCTGGTCTGTGAAAGGGAGACCTAGGGGTACATTAGGTCATCACTCACCCAAATCATCTTTACCAGTCCTTTTAATCCAGAATGATGACAAATTACACACTCCTGCTCTCAATAGCTATTATTTCAGGAAAGTATATTTAAAAGTAACATTTCCCTACTGCAGGCAACTTTAAAACACACAACATCCCCAAAACTGTTTGTTTGTCTTGTCTTTCATACAATTTCTTGCCATTTTGGCTAAATATCAAAGCTGTCTGTGTGAGCAAATGTTCTTTCTCTGCCAGCTCCTGTTTTGCTTGTTCCTGAAGTGAAGCATCATAGCAAATTTGTGGCATCACATTCATTCCTTGGCTGTGGGCTGTGATGTTGCAGACAATCCTTAGTGAATTCCAGTAGCAGAAAGAGCAGGCTGGGCAGGAAGCTGTTGCTGTTCATGCCCAACAGGACATCTCTCAGCTGGTGTGAACCAGGGTAGGTCTCTGCAATTCCCATGGAGCAAAGCTGATAAAATCTTGAGAAGATCTGCCTAAGAGACCTGGCTGCTGTTCCTTGTTCCTTCCCATGCTTTGGCTTTTCCCAAACTGGAGTCTGAAGACTCCAGCATAGGCTTAGCTTATATTTATGCTATAATGTAATGTGTCCCAGCTTTATCCAGTGAGACAGTTTGCCCCATCCTAATTCTGGGGCAACGTCTAGGGATCAGACTTCAGGAATCCCACCATCATGTCAACCAAGGGTGTTTATCTGAAGACAGTAAGATGCAGCTGGAAGCTGATCATGCTCTAAGCAACACTCAATACTTCTCCCTTTCCTGAAACAAATCTCCCCCAACAGGGGAATGTGTATTCCATGTCAGCTTAATATTCTGAGCCAAACTGGCCCCTTCCAACCCATAAACATCCCAGGATATTTTACAGCAAAGAGGGAACAGCACCTTGGGAGAGTCCAGTGTAAATCCTATGCATATTTGTCGTTTTGGTGCTCTTCCCTCCTTGGCTTCAGCAGTGCAGTTCTATGGCCTGAAGGAAATACCAAGCTGACATCCGAGTATTTTCAGAAAGCAAGTTAAACATGGTTTGGAGCGGAAGGAAGGTGTACATAGCAACTCACCCAGCGAGCTTTGAGAGGACTTTTGTGCATATTACACACTTTTCAAATGCTTTCGGATTTTTTTGTTTGAACAGAGAAGCCATTTAAGTCAGCATTCTGCTGGTTCCCCTTTGATTTTCTACCAAATATCACAGCAAAAGTATCTGCCAGCGGGGAGCTGTAAACAAGATCTTGAGTTCCTTCCCTTCTGGGTGGAACTTACCTGCTCCAAGGGATTAAATGGCCTCTCCACTCAATCTGCTTCTTTAAAAGTAGACCCGGAGAACCAAACAACAGATGTTTGATTTTTGAGCTACAAGTTAATTTTCCCCACTGTAGAAGGAATTCTTAGTCTTGCACAATATTAGTTCGTTAGTTAGTTTAAAAAAAACCTCCACAAAGGACAGCACAGAAGAATCTTAATACAAGGCACTAGCAACAGGAAAATGTCCTTTGCAAATGTGTGGCTTCTTTGAATTATTAACCAAATTAACATGGTAAAAGGTGATGAGAACATCTCACCACATCTACTCAGTAAATTTCCTCCTTGATTTGCAGGTAGGAGTAACATCCAGCTTACCTGTTCATAGTATCCAAGCTGCACCACAATTTGCAAAACTATCTCAGGAAGATGAATTAGGGCACATTAAAATTCCTTTAAGACTTTGTGAAGGAGAAGTGTTCCTTGCATGATTTTTGCAAGTGTTGTCTTCTTGGAGAGAAAAGCTCACCTCACCAGAAACAAGTGGGAAAAATTCCTTCTTAGAATCCAGGAGTGCCTTATCTCCCCTCATATCAGTAGGAAATGAAGATATGCAGTTCCTGGGGTGATTTCAGGGAATCTTGATAAAAGGGAGTATTCTGATGAAACTGTGAGAGCTAAGAGGCATCACAAGACGTTTGTGAGACTTGAAGGATGAGGTTCTGCATGCTTCTAGACTTGGGAACTCATCACCCAAGGGCTCTGTGGGAGGCAGAACATCCACATGGTCCAAGTGCAGATTGGGCATTGGGTGAGAAATCCCTCCAGGGCCTTAACACAGGAAGTCCCTGAGCTGAAAATAATCAGAGGTGGGAAAGAATGGGAGAAAGTAAATATGTGACCTGTTTTGGTTGCATTTGCTTATGACTTCTGAGAGAGGTGACAATGGCCAAGGTGGAGCACTGGTCTGATTTGGCACAGCCTTAAACCAAAGGCTCCTCCAGGGTAATTCCTCTTCACCAAACATTTGCCTTCAGAAAGGTAAAAGAGTTTCCCCCCCACAGCCAACTCAGTGTCTTCTCTGACTCTTAACTCACTTTACTTTTCTGTAACGTTGAGGCCTCAACATTATATTTAGCCTGACTGGAACTTGGCAAGTAACTTTCCTTTTACTATTTTTTTTTTTTGTCTCTTCATTGGATAGTTAGGTTGTCTGGGGATTTTATTCAGCAGAATGCATTCCCATAAATATATTCAAAATAGATAGGAGCCCTCTTTGTATTGAGGCATCTATTTGCGTTATTTAGATCTAAACATGCAAAAAACTGAGGAAGAGAGAATATTGCTTGAGGGTTTTCAAATGAGAGGAAGACTAAAAATGCATTGAAAGCTTTTGGATGTGGAAGTACGTGGCATTGTGGACAGTTGCAGTGGAGAATATAATGCAACAATAAAATCATTAAAGTACTTCAAGTTTGGAAGTAATCTGGGTTCTTGGCTTGCATTGCATTTAATAGCTTTACATTTATGGGAGCCACTCCAGTTTTTAAAGGCAGCTTCAGCCTTCAGACTGATTGCACTTACCACCCCAGTGAAACTGCAACCCATTAATTTTTTACCGAAAGGATCTCCCTAGTTTGTCAAACACATCAAGTGAACATTTTAGAGAGTGCAGACCACAGCAGTATGAAAACCAAAACTTTATATCCAGAGAGAAACGCTGGATTAGCATGAAATAAAGGGTCTGATTCTGTTAATGAGCACTTAGGTAATTTCATTGCTATACAAAACTCTGTTAAAAATAGAGGTACCAGACATTTGAGTGAAAACAGTCAGGACCTGCAGAAATCTCCTGTGCCAGCCCATCATGGAAAGGCCTGCAGTGGTTCTCCTTCAGGCTGGAGAGCTGCCCACCCTCCCCTGAGCCCACGTTTGGGGCCACCCCTCTCCCAGCAGCCCAGTCCCCTACGTGTTGATCCCCCCACCACGAAGCCCGAACCTTTCCAGTGTCTCAAACCAAACTCTCGCTCTCTAAAACGTTCGCACATTTCTATGTCAAACATCTGCTTAGGTGGCTCTGAGACAGTGTGTTTTGGTGTTGTTCGTGTGCAATCTAGTGCCGCTTCCTCAACGCATGTGTCCCTTCCCTTCACAGCCTACTCGACACCCAGCACCTCCCCCGCAAACCGATTCGTCAGTGTTGGACCACGGGATCCAAGCTTTGTAAATATCCCTCAACAGACTCAGGTGGGCCGCTTTCGACTTCTCTGTTTGCCTGCAGCCTCTTCTCCTCCTCCTCCTCCTCCTCCTCCAGTGTCCTCTAACGTGTCCCCGCGGAGCAGCTGCACTGCCGCTGTCACTTCACCCACATGGTCTCAGTAACTACAGTGAAATGTCACTTGCAGTTTGTTTGTCTGTTGTGGTTTTTTTTTTTCCTTTGTTTGTTTTTTTATTTTAATTTATTTTTGGGGCTTGTGTGGTGATAACAACACTGCTTTCATGACTGGAAGGACCTCTCTGCTTTCTAAGGTGTTGGCTCCCAGCACGCAGTTGTTTGCTCTAGGGCCGGGGTTTCAAAGGCTTTGGCTCCAACCTGCTCCCCAGGCACTGCATTTAATTGTGTTTAGATCAGATGCTAGGCAAAAATCCTTCCCTGCCTGGTAAAGGTTGCCCAGAGAAGCTGTGGCTGTTCCTGGATCCCTGGGAGTGTCCAAGGCTGGGCTGGACAAGGCTTGGGACAACCTGGGCTAGTGGAAGGTGTCCCATGAAACAAGACGATCTTTAAGGTCCCTCCCAACCCAAACCAGTCTGTGATATGCAAAAAAAAAAACCCTCAAACACTCATGGAAAAAAAATACTCAAATTCCTGGTTGGCCATTTGCATGGTGGGCTTTGAGCGAGCAGGAGATTTTTGTGATTGTGAGCACATCTGTTTTCCTTATGCAAAGAGAAAAAAGTCCAGTTGAGGCAGGCCTATAAAGCTGGGTTAGCTGAATTCATGGTCCTGCTATGGTCAAATCAGAAGCTCAAGTAAACATTTGTGTTTCTTTAGGAGAAGGACGAGATTTAAATGTGCTTTTTCCAAGCTGTATCAAATTCCCAGGGTCGATTAAGAAAATAGTTGTTGGCAGTTTTGTTAGCAGCTAATTTGAGCCAGATGTTGAAAAAATTAAGTCTGGGCTTAATATCACGTTATCATGGGGGGGAAGGTATAAAAAAGTGAACAGAGTTAGTGCTTTAGGACAACTGTAGTTTATAGTTTGAAGTGATTGCTTGACTACGTTGCAATTCTTTTAAAGGTCAACTACACGAAATATTTGTGATTCTGTTTTGAGCTGGTTGCAGTGACTAAAAAGCAATAATTCAAATAACTGGCAAACTGGGCATTACTACCCTTGGCTCTTGTAAGTTCTTTCAAATGGTTTATGGGCTTCTGAATAATTAGTGTGCAGATTAATGGCTGTCACATGCCACAGTAGGTGCATGAGGACAGACTCCTCGTTGTGATGGCTTCAGCACCTCCACTGTCACTGAAACACAGGTCACTCATGCCCAAAGATTTCCAGTTTACAGGGCTGCAAGCAGCTGCCTGTGAGCACAACGTGGTTTTTTGCTGTCTGCTCTTTGTGTACAATTTGTTAGGGGCTTTAGTTTATAGCTCTGTGCACAGCACAGGTTAAACTATATCGAATCTCAAACCTTCTCTGCATTAAATAGGGTCACACAAAGTACAGCAGCAATGCAGAGAGGGGTTTAACCCATCAGATTCTGGGGGGTTTTTTCATGCCTTGACAAAACTCAGCCTGCACCCCACTTTTCCAGCCTTGTGCTTTTATGGGGTTCATGGGTGTGACAAGTTCTCATGCACCTTCCCATTTAAATCATATTTCTCCGGTTGTTTTGGAAACAACTGGAATATACAGAAATACGCTGAAATTGGGAAACAGGAATTTTAAGGTGTGCTGCTAAAGTCCTTAAGCATTTGGTCTTTTCCTTCATAGCTCAGGAAACCTGAAACCCTTTGGAGAATGCTACTTACCTTTTCCAGAAGACTTGAAAAACTCCTAGTTGGTAAATTGATTATGTAGTAAGACACAACAGTATTAAGTCTCCAAAGATATTTAAAACTTACTTGCATCCTGCAGCCTAAGTTTCCCAGATAAGTTTGTTGACTGTAAACTTTTATCCTCCTTATTTATGACTTAAATCATTTTAAAGTGCTCTAGCGTTACTTTAAGTGCTCCTCAGTAATGCAGTGTAGTGAATAACAATGCTGTACAGTGAAAAACAATACTCAAGCACAGCTTTCAATTAAAGTCTAACATGCTGCAGTGGGCAAGGAGACTGACTTCCAGTCTCTGACTCCAGCTGCATCTCCCTGCTTCTATACATCATTACACCACCACAACCCACTTGATACTAAATATATAATTTATCAGCAAACTCACTACTTATTCATGAAAGAACTCTGAAGTTGACTGTGCTTTGAGTCAGAGAAGTGAGGTAGAAGTGCTAACTGCAATGATTTGGGATTTATGTAGCATTCCTCTAAACAAAGACAGGCTTTTGTGCTCCTTTTTGCAGGGCATTAGTGTATAGAACGACCACTTAGGATATTTTCAAAACTGAAATGTAAAAACACATAGGACTGCATTATTAAAAGCAGCTGGGGTGGCTCCTTTCCATCAGGGTCTTTAGAGTACATCCAGAGTCAGGCTAAAATACAGGGACTAACAGCCAGGGACACAGCTCCCTGAGACAAGAGGAAGCAGGGAACAATCCGAGCTTCTGGAAGTCAAGCTTAAATATAAGGGTTAAGTGAATTCTTGCTGCTGGAAAAATAAAATAAAAATGAAGGCTGTATCTGAACATCTGCTTTTTAAAAATTATGGTCCAGCTACAACCCATATGAAAATATTTTGGCCAGATTTTTGGTGGCTCTGATGTTCTCTTGGTGGAACATTGCACTATAAGCACTATTTACACATCATCATCATCATTAGTCTTGAAGTGCTGCAGAAGTGAGTCTGTTCACAGGGATGTGGCAGCTCCACGGAGCAGGAGTCACAGTTCCCATACATGGGCATTCCCAGAACATTGGAATAAAATCCCAGGCAAATTACCATGGGCTGGGGCAAGGATCATTCTGTGCTGGGCTGTTTCTAAACAACCAAACCCAGTACAAGCCTTTCTGAATCATTATTAGAAAAAATATCAGTAGACATTTCCATTAGCACTATGTTCTGATTTATGACATGTTGTGGCAAATATAACCCCTTAAAGGAATTTTGTAGAGTTTATATAATATTCATTAAAAAGCCATCTTCCTGTGTCAACAAAGGTTGCAACAGGACAACCAGTCTATCAGAGAAGGGATGGGGAAATAAACTGCTTTAAGTCAGTAGTTCTGATTTGGTAACCAAAGCCCCCAAAGGGCTGTTGGCTTTGCCTGGTTTTAGCAGTTTCCAAACTTTTCAGTTGGTTTGGTTTTGCATCTGCTGCTTACACCATCCATCACTCTGCCACTCCACTCACTGCACAATTGTCCTGTCTTGGGGGTTATTTGAATCTAAATTTCTGTTTGAGCTATTAGAAGCAACACTTGACTTGGCATCCCCCGTATATGTTGACAAAAAGGCACAGGTGTTGTAACCTTTGCTTGATAAATCATTTACTTTTGCTACTTGACTTGCAAGCAATATGGGGGCATCAGCTTTTTAACTGCCTATTGCATATGCAAATCAGAAATACAGGATGCCTGGGGTACAGGGGGCTCTGGTTTCAAAAGCAAGCTGGTCTGGATAGCTCATGACTAAGTAATAGATACGTCTCTCATATTGCCAAGGACCTGCAACACAGAGGGTGGTGGAGGGATGGGAAAGTCCCCTCACATTAATTAGGGACGAGCCTCTCGGTAGCAACGAGGTGAATAAACAGGGCTGCATTTTGAGGTGGTTTTTTCCTAAAATTAACAGTGAAACACAGTGCATGCAGCTGGGAATGCTAAACCAGCAGCCTGTGGCCAGGGTTTGCCACTCACCACTCCAAATGCTGCTTGCTGCTCTCTAATACCCTGGCTTTGCTCTAGGGTACAAAATTCCTTGAGGGATCCACGTGCTCTGTACTCATCATGCTGCAGCTCCACTTCACACTAAACATTGTTTACTATGCTGAGTCCTGTTTGCCACCTACTTAGCCTGCATCTTCCTGGAAATTGCACTTGGGATGCTAAAAACAGTTCCTGAGAAACACATGCCTGCTCCATCTAATCGCTCCTACCTGCCACTGGCCCATGTGCCCTGCACAGGGAGGTTGTGAGGATGCAGGGAACAGAAACTGCCTCCCACTGCAGGCACCCAGGCAGGGAATCAGCCACTTTACCCTGTGAGAAAGTGAATCCTGTAGCCCTGACCAGCTGTTTCAGGAAAAATCCTTCTCTAGTGTAAACACACTCTGTATCAGATCCATCCCAGGTAGTTTCTAAAAACCTAGTTAAGCACAAACCTAAATATTTATTCCCTTAGCTTTATGTAGGAAAAGATAAAACTTATTTCTAGAAGGACAGAAGTAGAAGCTCTTCCTGGTTCTACCTTTGCACAATCCCAAAGCACAGTTAGATCCTGGATAATAAGCAAAGGCCTTGTGTTTTCACACTTTCCCTGGTGGGGCCCTAGAGCCACCCAGCTACAAGAGAGCTCTAGATAGAGCTCATCCTTTATAGCACAAAACAACTGAAACAAAAGGCCTGTAGCCTGCCTAGAACACTGAAATAAAGTTTAAGAAAATAACCAAAAGTCAAGCAAGCTTATCTAGGCAGCAAAATAACAGGTATGGAAACCAGCAAGCTCAGCAGAACAGCCTTATAAAGACCAGGTACAAAAATGCACCCTGTGAAATACATCTTTAAAAGAGCAATATTAACTTAGGAGGGAAATCACTGAAGTTTAACAAAGTGTTTATAGTACAACGAAATTGCTAACTCCTTTAGATCTTCTCCTGCTCCCTGCCCTTCCCAAATTAGACAGTGGTATCTTTGTAGCTTTCTCCTTTTGGGCTTTTATTTATCTCTAAAAAAACCACCATATGCCTCAGGTGCATCCACAAACCTAATTGTACAATTACTTTCTTTCCCAGAGACAAGGCAAAGCTTGTTTTGCTTCCCCACAAGCGATTTTTTTTTTGTTTGTTTAGAGAGCAAACTGCAACCTGCAATTTTTCACTGGCAGCACTTTAAAACAAAGGGCATG